AAGACTCCGTCTCAAAAAAAAAAAAAAAAAAAAGCAGGGAAGGATGACAGTAAGTGTGGGAGGGTTGCAATTTTAGATAGGGTGGACAATGAAGGCCTTTCCGAGAAGATGGTGGTTAAGTAAAGGTCTGAAGGAGATGAGGGAGTGAGCCATGCAGCTATCTGGGACAAGAACATTCCAGGAAGAAAGAACAAGTACAAGGTCCTCAGGTGGGGAGTGTGTTCCAGAGTGGGTGGGAGGAGCGAGTTGGGTCATGGGATGCTTTGGAAGCTATAGGAAGTTCTTTGGCATTTTCTCAGAGTGGGATAGGAAGCCATCAAAAGGAGACAGATGACGTGGTGGCCTGATTTACATTTTAAAAGGGTTGAAAGTGCGGTGTGAGAGAAAGAAAAGACTCCAGAGCTTGGAGGCTGAGGAAGTAGAAGCATGATATTGCCCCATTTCTTGAGCTGAGAAGACTACAGGAGAAGCAGGTTTTAGGGGTTAGGTCGGTAGCTCAGTTTTAGTCATGTTGAGGTATTACACATCCAAGTGGAGATACAAATGTAGGTGTCATCAGCTTATAGATAGTGTTTAAAACCCAGGTCAGAATGGATGAGATCACCAAGGGAGGACTGAGGCACGGGAAACTCCAAAGTTAAAAGGTCAAGGAGATGAGAAGAACAGCAAAGAGGAAGGAGGGAACCAGGAGAACGTTGTAACCTTCAAGCTAAATTTAAAAAGTATCTCAAGAAAGAGGAAGAGAGAATGATAGTCAGATGCCACTAAAATATCAAATAGGATGAAACCTGAGAATTGACCAACGGATTTAAGCAAAATGGAGGTCACCGGTGATCATGATAAGGAGAGATTTGATGGACTGGTGGGGACAAAAGCCTGCATGGAATGGGTTCAAAAGAATGGAGGAGGAAAAAAGAAAAGTCACTATAAAACTCTTTCAAAGGAAGGAAGGAGAAAAAAGATGGTAACTAGAGGGAAAAAAGCGACCAAGAAAGGACTGTTTCTTTTAATAGTTATCTCTTTTTCTCATCAGGTTCTACTGACCCAAGGAAAGGACTATTTATTTGAAGATGAAGAAGTTGTATGTTAGTACACGGGTGGGGAGGATCCTGTAGACAGGAAAAACTGAAGTAGCAGAGCGATAAGGAAAGTTCCTGGAACCATGTTCTTCAGAAGGTGAGCGAGAGGGTCAAGTTCACAAACAGAGGCATTGCCTTACACAGCGGCAGGAACAGTTCCCGAATAATAATTGGGAGAGAAGGCAGAGTGAGCGGGCATGGGTCGAGGGAGCTGGGGAGCTGTGGGATATCTCTTTGTTGTTTCTGTTGTCCAGTGGTATAAGAAAGAGCATGTGTTGTCAAACTCTGTAAGAATAAAAAATCAAGATCACCCTCTAAGAGTGAGGATGATGAAGAAACTAGGAGTTTGAGGAGAAAAAAGGTAGGAAATACGCATTCAGGAGAGAGGAATGGACTAGAAGGGGAGATCAAGAGACTGAGAGGCCAGTGGCCTGGAAGACTCATTTACCTGGATATTTAAATCAACAGGAATGGGCCAGGTGCAGTGGCTCACACCTGTAATCCCAGCACTTTGGGAGGCCGAGGCAGGCGAATCACCTGAGGTCAGGAGTTCGAGACTAGCCTGACCAACATGAAGAAACTCTGTCTCTACTAAAAATACAAAAATTAGCCAGGCATAGTGGTGCATGCCTGTAATCCCAGCTACTCGGGAAGCTGAGGTAGGAGAATCACTTGAACCTGGGAGGCGGAGGTTGCGGTGAGCCGAGATTGTGCCATTGCACTCCAGCCTGGGCAACAAGAGTGACACTCCGACTCAAAAAAAAAAAAAATTCTTGAACTTCATATATATAGAGAGTATGATTCCATTTATATATGTGTGTGTATATATGTATATATATGTGTGTGTGTATATATATACTATACATATATAGTATGATTCCATTTATATAAAGTTCAAGCCAGGCGTGGTGGCTCATACCTGTAATCCCAGCACTTTGGGAGGCTGAGACAGGTGGATCACAAGGTCAGGAGTTCAAGACTAGCCTGGCCAAGATGCTGAAACCCCATCTCTACTAACAACACAAAAATTAGCCAGGCGTGGTGGTGTGCACCTGTAATCGCAGCTACTTGGGAGGCTGAGGCAGGAGAATCGCTTGAACCTGGGTGGCAGAGGTTGCAGTGAGCTGAGATCGTGCCACTGCACTCCAGCCTGGGCAACAGAGCAAGACTCCATCTCAAAAAATAAAACAAAAATAAAAAATAAAGTTCAAGAACAGGCAAAGTAAATCAATGGTGATAGTAGCAGAATTGTGGTAACCATTGCCTGGGAAAGGGTAAGAGGAATATATATATA